GCGGGCGGGCCAAGAGACCGGAGCAGCTCGGGGCGGCGCCCGACCTCGCGCGGCCGGGACGGACCCGCCGGCTGGCGCCGCGGCGGGGCCGAGGGTTTCCGGGGCCTCCGGCGGGACGCAGGCTTTCAGCCGTGGTGCTCTTCCAGTTGGTAGGGCAGGGGGCAAGCCCCGAGACACGACGCTGCAAAAGAAGCGCAACAGAGCAAAACATCAGGCCCGGAATCCTAGACCCCATCTTTCTGCGACTCGCTTCGAGCCCGATCGATCTGTGATGTTCCAGGTGCCCGAGATGGAGCGACAACGCCGATTCTGAACAAGAGCTCAACGCCAGGATCGCAGGGAACACGCAGGGAGGCCTATGCGTCACTCTTGCATCCACTGTGCCCCGGGGCGAGGTCGGAAGTCTGTGGGCATCGCTTACGCGCAGGAGTGACGTCTCGCTAGGGGGTACGGCTCTCTCCGGGAGGGCGGGCGGAGGGGGTGGACAAGCACAGAGGGCGGCCACTGCGTCACTCGTGCCCCTCGACCTCCTTTTTCTCCTCCCCTCCCTCTGCCCCTCCCCTCCCTTTGCCCCTCTGCGTGTCCTCCCTCTGCCCCTCCCCTCCCTCTGCCCCTCCCCTCCCCGCCCCTCCCTCCTCCCCTCCCTCTGCCCCTCCCCTTCCGCTTCGTTACTCTCTCTCTCTCTCTCTCTTTCTCTCTCTCTCTCTCTCTCTCTCTCTCTCTCTCTCTCTCCCCCCCCACCCCTTCCCCGCGTGCTCCGCTCCGCTTCCCCATCCGCTTCTCACTAGCCTCCGCTCCCCTCCCTCGCTGCCCCTCCCTGTCCTGACTACCTACCAGACCACCCCCCCAACCCAGCCCGAGGACCCGATTTTTGAGCTGGGGGGTACGATGTTCCCCCCCACTGGAAATGGAGGGCCACTCCCTTGGGCGAAAGATGCTCGTCGATACTCCGATGCTCGCTCACACCTGGTGACATCAGGGCTCAGGGTGCTAAGCAGAGGAGGCCGCGTCCCGCGGTGGCAGAGTCGCGGGAAGCCCAAACGCACGGTTGAAATCATTTGCGATCTCATTCAGCTTTCAGCCCCGACGCTCCTTCCCAGATGTCGGCCTCTGGGAGCCGTTCCTAGACAGCCAGTGCAACGTCTCGACATAAATCAGGGCGGAGGTTTTTCGTCGCTTTCGGCGTCCGGTGGCCCTTACGCGGCCCCTGTGCCGTCAGAACGACTCAGGATGAAAGCCAGCCCTGAGGGAAGGGTCTGGCCTTCTGGGGCCCCACATCAAACAAACACAGGACATCCAGACATCCGACAGTGTGATATTTGCAGTGGGCGGCTCGAGAGGTCTCGACCCCTTTCCTGGGGTGGTTTTCTGTCCCAGATTCATGTTGTTTGATGGTCCCAGGGCCCAGATGTTGGTTCCACAAGATGCCGAAATCTATGTAAACGCAGCCAGACGTTCGAAGAACACATCGTCGGAGATCTGGGCATCGGGATGTTGGGATCTCGGGCCCCTGGACATCAAACGTTGATCTGGGCGGAAACGCGGGGCCGAGACGTCTGAGGCTCGCGGGTTGAGACATAGATTTTTGTCGCGCGCCTGGGTTCGAGGATCGAGGGGATGCAGTTTTCTTGGGCGTCTCCGGCCCGTTTCGTGACTCAGGGGGCATCTTCGTCGTCGTCGTCGTCGTCGTTGTCGTCGTCGTCCAAAGATCCAAGTTCTGGAGGCTCTTCTGGGGCAGCCCCAGGGAGGTCCTCACGAGTCAGGGAGGTCGCCACCTTCCTCGAGGAAGCGCCGTGCTTCCTCGGGGAGGTGGGCCCCCAGGGGAGCACTCCGGAGCCCCGCCAACACGACCCCACGTGCCCCAGGGACCTCCTCGAGCTTCGATCCCGGAACCAAGATCTCCAGGAGGAGCCACGAGCACTCCAGAGCCCTATCAAAACGACCCCACATGCCCAAGAATGTCCTATGCCCTGGAGCCTCGACCCGAGGTAAGGAGCCGAACTCCATACACCGACGCGTTTTCCGGCCCCGCACTGAAACTCGCACAGGAAAGCGGATCCTGGTGTATACGGGATCCTGGTGTATACATTTTTCGTTGTTTCCCCGGGAAAGCGGGGAAAAAGTATACACCACACCACCCCGATGTCGTCCCCGATCCTAAAAAAATCCGGAGATTGAAGAACAGCCCGCCACTGGTAATGTATATGCTCCAGCTTCCGACGAGGACCCAGATTTCAAGGAGGAGCTGGTGACTCACCTCAGCGGACACCGTCGTCGTCGTCGTCGTCGTCGTCGTCGTCGTCGTCGTCGTCGTCGTCGACGCCCTGGCCCGCGGAGGGGCACGGCTGCGGCCGAGCCCGCGGCGGCGCCCTTGGCGGGCCAGAAGCCGATGCCGGCGGCGGAGGGGTTGTAGACCACCTCCCGGGGGGCGGCGCTCGGCTGAAGTCGGGCCTGTCCCTCTGCGGGGGGGATATCCAAGAATAGTCAAAAGATAATGCGGGGACTATTTTTTGAATATATGTTTTGGCCACTTGGGAATGTTTGTTGACAATATCATAACTGTTCGTCGAAAATCCCCCTGTCGGGGGACACGCCCGACTTAACGCTCGGCCTCGAGACCCAGGTCCTGCCTCGTCGCGGCAGCATTGCGGCGCGGGCTTTTCGGTCCTTGCCAGTCTCGGCGCCCTCGCCGGGCCGCAGTGTCGTAACACGACGCAGATGAGAAGCCGGTCCCGGGGGATGGGTCGGGACCTCCAGGGGCCCATGTTGCGAACAAAATCATGACGTCGGGCGTCGTGGGTCTGGGAGTTGGGCGTCGAGGCGACCGCAGAATAAGAGCACATCGAGAAGCCGACGCTGGTGGCGGAGGCACCTGCAAAATTGGCACTCGGCTTCGAGAAAGCGGGCGTCGCGGCGACCGCCGGATAAGAGCACATCGGGAAACCGATGCTGGTGGGTGGAGGGGTAAACCACCTCCGAGGTTGGCGCTCGGCTTCGAGAAGGGGTGCGTCGAAGCGACAGCAAGATAAGAACACATCGAGAAGCCGATGCTGGAGGCGATAGGGGTTGTAGCCAACCTCTGGAACGACGGTCGGCTTCGAGATGGGCATGTCGAGGCGAGCACCTAAGAAGATCAGGTACTGATTATCCCGATTGCTCGGATCAAGATGCGAAGACATCGGATGCATAATACTATCACATCGGACATGAGCACATCGGGTGCGGACGCGGATGCCACGTTGGATGTGGATACGATCACCTCTGGAGCGGGCTCAGCTTCGAGAGGGGCGCGCGGAAGATTACCACAACGCCTTGTAGCCCGAATCCATCACCCCCCCCACCCCTGCGCTCGGGCACTACTGTGTACCCCACCTTTCTCAAATTGATAACAGAAGTTCTGGAAAATCCCTCAAACGTCGTGCCTGGGCGGGTGTTCTCTCAATCTCTAATTTGGGCTGTTCAGTCGGCCTGAACGCAAGAGTGACCCTATACCCTATAAGCAAGAGCGATCCTTGGTGCGCGGCTTGAAGGGGGCGCGGGGGAGGGGGGGGCCAAACCCAGCAGCATAAGCCGCTTCTACCACATCACATTCAGCGATCGGGGGACCCCAGGTGGGACCCCGAAAGCCGCGAGCCAAAGGTCATTCCAGCGAAGGGTCGGGTCATGCTCACGACTGGCTTCGGGTCATACCTCCGGAGTCCAACGGCTGGGAGGCCCCCCTGGGAAGCTCTCGGCGAGGCCGCGCTGCTCGAAAGCATCCAGACGCAAGATGTACAGGAATCGACGGACACGCCTGGAAACGTCCAGCCGCGCACCAGAGGTCACTCCAGCGATGGGCCACTCTTGCGTGCAGCCGACCAGTGCGCCAGACGAAAACGGAGTCATATCGGGCCATCGGGGGAGAGGGGGGGGGGGAGTGCGGTTAAAGCTTCTGGTTGCGCACAGACAGCCCCCCAGGTAGTCTCGGCTGGCCTCCAAGCGCCCCCCCGTAGTCCCAGCTGGCCTCAACAGGCTCCCCGAGTAGTCCCAGCTGACTTCAACAGGCACCTCGAGTAGTTCAGGGCGGTCTCAACACCCCAGCGCCGCCTCCGGCGGCGCCATTGGGGCGCTCCGCGCCCCAGGGTTGGGGTGTTGGGACCGCCCCAAACTACTCGGAGGGGCGTGTTGAGGCCAGCTAGGAATACTTAGGGAGCCCGCTCAGGCCAGGCGGGACCACCAGGGGGGGGGGTCGGCGAGCTGTCTGCGCTCAACCCGTAGCCTTACCACGGGTGTGTGCAAAAAAAAACTGCACCCTGGGAGGTCTGGACCCCTTCCCTGGGATCGCTGGTTCATCCCGGGTCGTTCGTTGACGGTCCTGGGGCCCAGCGAGGGCCTCCAGAGGCCGAAAACACCCACAACCATGAACACCTCCCGTTATTTTTGCGACGCGAGGGGGCCTGGGTCCTCCTCCCTTAGCGGCCTCCTAGATGGGGTCGGAATAGATGGGGTCGGAGGATCGTGCCGCATCGCCGATACATCAGCGATGCATCGGCGATGCATTGGTGATGCACCGGCGGTGCATCGTCGACGTGGGCGATCCATCGGCGCCGTCGACGTGGAGCAACTCGGGTCCCACTTCGAGCCGCGTCGGCGATGCGCCAGCGATGTGGCGCGATTCTTCGACCCCATCTACTCCCACGCCATGGAGGCCGAAATCCTCCATCCTGGTATGGGTACAATTCCCGACAACAGATAGTGTCCCAAACCGGCAGCGTCGATGTTGGCTGGGCGGCATGCCTCAACAGAACACAGTCCGCGGAACCGCCGACATCACCAGAACTGCCGTTGGTGTTTGTACCTGCTCTTTCCGTACCCATTTCGATCGTCTCGATCGTCCCTCCCCGTCCACGGCTCTTGATGGATTGGCGGGATTGGCGATGCATGGGCGATGCATTTTCAATGCCTCGCCGAAGAATCGGAGCCGCATCGCCGATACATCGCCGATACATCGTTGATGCATCGGCGATGCACCGGCGACGTCGGCGATGCATCGGCGATGCAGCGCGACCCTCCGACCCCACCTACACCGACCCCATCGAGGGGGCCGAGATCCTCCCTCGCGACGCAAGGGGCCTGGCGGCGCGCACCAGGGGGAGGGAAGGGGTGAAACGGTACTGATCTTCACCGACCCCGTCGAGGGGGCCGAGATCCTCCCTCGCGACGCGAGGGGGCCTGGGTCCTCCTTTGAGCAGGGACCGACCGTCCTGGCATTCCTATAGGCCTACCCCGACATGTTCTTAGAACCAAAAAATGTTCTGATAACAAAAACAGGTTCTTAAAACATAAGCCCGCCGTGTTCAAATTAGCCTGGCGAAAGACCCAACCATATGCAGTTGTGAATACCGCAATTGTGAATACCATCTTCGCCCGCGCTCCCTATGTGGCCACGGCTTCCCGCCGGAGCCCGACATGCTCAAGAACACGTTCGTGGCCGTCTTCGCGGGCGCCAGGCGCGGTTGTTGAAGCAGCACAACTATGGGGCCACAATCCTCGTGAGGGGTGTGCCGCAATGGCCCGGGGCCGCCATGCGAACCCTGCCACTGGCGCCTTCGGTGGAGCTCCTGTGGGGCCACGATCCTCGTGAGGGGTGTGCCGAAATGGCCCGAGGCCGCCGTGCGAACCTTGCCACTGGCGCCTTCGCTGGAGCTCCCTATGGGGCCACGATCCTCGTGGAAGGTGTGCCGAAATGGCCCGAGGCCGCCATGCGAACCGTGCCACTGGCGCCTTGGACTGGCACTGGGTCCTCCTCGGTGTAGAACATTGCTTGGCAGGCCTATAGGCGAGCCAGGACGCTTCGCCACTGCTTGGATTGGCGCGCAAGCCTGGATTGGCGATCCATGTATTTGGCGCGCGGTCGCCAAATCCATGGGTCGGGGGAGGTGGCCCTAACCAAAATGCGGCTGGGGGCGCCTCGTTCGGCGGCGGCAATCAGCGATTTCATATGGAAACGGGACCCGTCGCTAATCCACGCCCCCTTAATCCATGTTTGCGATCGCCTGATTTTGGGAGAAAAATGGAAACTAGTCGAAACATATATCCAAAACGAATCCAGCAGTAAGAGCACATTCGTCCCCAGGCTATAGCTCTTTTTTGAACTGTTTTGTTCAACGTTCCTCCTGTAGAGGGCCGTGCCCGACAGAAACCTAGCGCCAACATGACATGCGTCCATGTTTTTTTTGCGGCCGTGCGCCTAGAGGGGAAGCGAGAGGGGCAGGCCTTCTCAGAAGGCGGCGGGGCTTCTCAGAAGCCCTCCAGCGCTCTGAGAAGCCGCCTTTGTCTTCGGAGACGGCTGAGAAGCCTTTTTTGAAGGCCGGAGGCCTTGCGAGCCTTCTGAGAAGGTCTGCTCCCCCTGCCTCCCCCCCCGGGCTCGCCGCCGAGATGTTCCCCCCGAGCTAAGACCTCCCGCGCCCTGAAACGTAAAGGCGGACTTGCGGTCAGAAGTGTTTGCTTAGCGTATCGCGGCGGCGGCCCCCGCGACACGCTATGCTAGTGCGAGCGGATAGCGTGTCGCGCCGATCCGCGGGACAGAAGGCTGGAGAAAGCTCGGGACAATGATTTGAGGACTGGGGGAAAAGGTGGATAGCGTGTCGCGGCGGCGCGACACGCTAAGCCAAAGTTCCTCACTGTATTTCGCAGGGTTTAGCCTCCATTATCCTTTTTCGGGCTCTCGGATCGGGCGGGACTTTTTCAACAAGGGAGTGGGGGGGGGGCAGAAAACGTGGGCCATCGTTGCGCGGGAAACCTACCCTGAAGGGCCCCCAGAGGGGCCCTAATCTGCCATCCCAGCCCCAAAAAGATGTTGGAAAGGTGCACCTTGCGCCCCCCCGCCCGTTCAGTTCTTCCACGTCGCCGTCAGGCCGGATCCTGGAGCATCAACAAGATCGATGTGGGGTAGAGCGGGGCCTCAGGGAGGGATGGAGTCGATGGGCCCAGGCGCCGGGGCACGCGCACAAACGACATCAGGACATGGGATGTCTGTCTGATTTCGTTCGTTCGTGTGTTTACTTGTTTGTTATTGTTCTATGTTCCTCCTTCTCCACGGTGAGCGCGCAGCAGCATCTATAGGGTGCCTTGAACACGACCTGTGGACAAACAACACCTCAAATTCCCGTCCGACAGCCGTCTGCCCCATGTATACTGCAGTACCAATGCTCTACTGCCCTGTACACGATAATTCCGGCCACGGAACAACCATGGCATGTCGCCGCGCCGCTTGTTCTCGACGCGCCCAGGTGGACGACGCCGACGCCACAGCAAACCCACGGCAAACCCTGAGACCCACGCCCAAGTAGACGATGCTGGCACCGCGGCAAACCCGCGGCGGGCCCAACGCGCCCGAGGCGGCGTTTGCCCTGATGCCCGCAGCGCCCTGCCCAAGACGTAGGGCCGCGCGTCGGAACAAATGGCGCGACGACGTGCTTACTTCACCGCAAGGGGAGGCCTGTGCCAAAGGCCCTGCGAAGCCCAGACTTACGCCCAAGATCCGACGCCACGAAAAGTACGAAACACCGCAGAGGCCCCGACTGGAGCCCTAAGACCCCGTCTCTCTGCTGCCTTTGTCGAGCAGGCGGCGCGGCGACACGTGGGCTTGTCCTGCCACAGCGCAAAAACGGATGGGGCGCTCGGGCGGGCCCGGCCCCCGGGCACGCGGCGCGGACTGTGGCCGCGCGCGGCGGCGCAAGTGAACTTTTGGGCAGCCCTTGCTCGGGGCCTTGCCAGGGGTAGGCTCTCGTCTGGCGGCGTGCACACGCGGGTGGGGGGAGGGGAGAAGGCTTCTTAGAAGGAGGCCGCTTCCAAGAAAGCGCCTGCCCCGCATCCATAGACAAGGCATGCGCCGTCCGAGAAGGAAGGGTGCTCTAAGAAGCCTTCCCGCCTCCCCCCTACGTGCCCCCCTTCTGCGCGTGGCTGAAGGACAGCCCTTTCTCGGCGCCTTGCCAGGGTTTGGCTCGCTATCTTTTCCTCCACACCACACGGCGCCGTCCAGAGAGACCTGGGCCCTGGTTAAAGAAGGGCGGACCTATCCGTACACGCGCCTTCGCGGTCTGGGCTCCAGGGGGCGCGATCCCGCGGAGGCGCGGTCGCACGGATACGTTCCGCGCAGGGCACCCGCGAACAAAACGCCCCGTATGTGGACGTCTTCTTATTCGGCGTTTCGACATTGGGCGGAAGGGGGGGGATGGGGAAAAGGGGCTGGTCCTGGACCTCTGCTTAATGTGACTGTTAGCAACCGTGCGACCCATGGTGGAGACTCCACCTGCGTGAAACAGGCGCCAAAAAAAACACGATCTACTCCACGGGGGGGGGAAGGGGAGGTGCGAGGGCCCGCGCCGATCGGCAAAGCAATGCATACGAAGACGACGACTATCTCTCTTGGGGTCGCTCTCGTGGAGCCACCTGGAGGCCTCGGAAGACCATCAAAGGCAACACGGCGAGAAAACGACCTTCGCTGATGCCCCTTAGGTCGATAGGCCTGTTTTTCCACCACCACCACCGCCACCGTAGGTTGGAGGGGGGAAGGAGGTAGAGGACGAGGAGGAGAGGAGACGGAGGAGGAGGAGAAGGAGGAGGTGGAGGAGAAGGAGGTGGAGAAGGAGAAGGTGCAGGAGGTGTATAAGGAGGAGGATGACGAGGAGGAGGACGAGGAGGAGGACGAGGAGGGAGAAGGGGGAGGAGAGGAGGAGGAGGAGGAGTGGAGGAGGAGGGGGGAGGAGGAGAGGAGAAGGAGGAGGAGGAGGAGGAGGAGAGGAGGGAGGGAAGGAGTGGAGGAGGAGGAGGGAGGAGGAGGAGGAGGAGGAGGAGGAGGAGGAGGAGGAGGAGAGGAGAGGAGAGGAGGAGGGAGGAGGAGGAGGAGGAGGAGGAGGAGGAGGAGGAGGGAGGAGGAGGAGGAGGAGGGCAGGCCGCCGAAGGCCGCCCCGCAGAGGCCGCCTACTAGCCCCCCCCCTCGCGCGGGGAGGGCGTCGCCCCCGCCTGCTTGCCCGCCACGCGCTCCTCCCGAACGCCGTAGGGCCAGGCCCGCGACACTTGCTGAGGCACTGGGTCGCGGCTGCTTTTTCGGGCGGCTGCGCTGCGGAGGAGGAGGAGGAGGAGGAGGAGGAGGAGGAGGAGGAGGCTCAGAGACTCAGACCTCTCGGGAAGCGGAGGAGGATGAGGAAGAAGAGGAGGAGAGGAGGATAGGAGGAGGAGGAGGAGGAGGGAGGAGGCAGGAGGAGGGGGAGGAGGAGGAGCAGAGGAGGGGCAGCAGGAGGAGGGAGAGTGGAGAGGTGGAGGAGAGGAGGAGGGGGGAGGAGGAGGCTCAGAGACTCTCCTTCGGGAAGCGGAGGAGGAGGAAGAGGAGGAGGAGGAGAAGGAGGAGGCTCAGAGACTCAGACCTCTCGGGAAGCGGAGGAGGAGGAGGAGGAAGAGGAGGAGGAGGAGGAGGAGGAGGAGGAGGAGGAGGAGGAGGAGAAGGAGGAGGAGGAGGAGGGGGAGGGGGAGGAGCAGGAGGAAGAGGAGCAGCAGGAGGAGGAGGAGGAGGAGGAGGAGGAGGAGGAGGGGGAGGAGGGCGCGCCGTCGAGGCGCGCGGCGGCCGCGGATGTCGTCGAGGACTCCCGATCGGCCCGAAGGCCGTGCCAATCTAGAACTCGGAGGGGACATCTCGGCCCGTGCCTACTCGGGCGATTCTGCGAGCGTCGTGCGAGGATTGCTTCGCGGGCAGGCGGGAGCGGGAGCGGGAGGGGAGAAGGGAGCGGGGGACGGGAAAGGGGAAGAGGAAGAATAATCCGTTCCGATCTTGTTCGCGGGCACCTTCCCGGAGAATGCCACGCTGACAGGCACAGATTCAGTCAGTCCTAGCTGGGCGCGCCATCGAGGCCGATCGCTTTCAGGTGGCTGAGCCCAAAAGCCCCCTCGCGCCGCGACCGAAAATCGTTATATCTGTATTTGTTAGCTTCGGCCTCTGGAGGCCCTCGCCAGGCCCCGGGACCGGCAGACAACGGCGCAGGATGAACAGCGGGGCATGGGGACTGGGTGGAAACCTCCAGGGGTCCACGTCGTGAACCAAACTATAACATCGGGGTCGGCGGGAAGTCAGGGGGGTACACAGCATAGCGTCTCGCTCTGGAGGCGTCGGCGGTGCGGCAGAACATGTGACAGGCCACGCTCATGCACAACGAATTGGTTCAGGCACGTGCCAGGGAGGTGGCCAGGGCTCCACCCTACGGTCGGGAACTTTGTCTTCGCAAACATCCACGTGACTCGTTTGTTTGTCCCTGTTACTCGTGCGCGTGCCGTCCGCATCGCAAGTCAGGTGCAGACAGAGCGCGAGGAGCCCTTTAGGGCCCAAAAGGGCTTTTAGAGCCCGAGAAGTGCACGCACTTTTTTCTCTCCCCCCATTTTATCGCCCCCCGTTAATTCACGCCCAAACGTGGGCACCTGTGGATTCAGGGCCTCCGGAATTGAGCACTTGTTGGCGTCTTCCTGAGCGCGACGACCTGAAAAGCTCGGGAAGTTCACGCCTGGGGGCCACGGCGAGGTTGGTGTGGCGTGCCGCCGCGCGCGGTGGCCCAGACCTGGCGGCGCGACACGCCAAGCAACCGCTCCCGAGCGTGTACCTCCAGAGGCGGCCGCGCGGGTACGGACAGTCGGACCCGGGACAGAAGCACACCCCTCCCGCGCGGGTGCGGACAGTCGGATCCGGGACAGAAGCACACCCCTCAAGAATAGGAGGCCCTCCAAAGGCCAGAATGACGAGCACTCGAGGGTACCCCCCCCCCAGGAGGCACAGGCACGCCCGACGAGCACGACGAGCACCAGGGCGCCCCCCGCCCCGAGCCGACCTCGATCCTCCTGCCTCGGTGCGACGGTGCAGCCCGCGGGGGGAGGCAGCGAGCGCGCCGGGCCCCCCGCGCCGGGGGCCGTGGCTGCTCGTCGGGGCGCGCGGGGCCTGCGTGGGAGTTGCCAGCCTGGATCATATCCCTATCCCTATGCTGGGCATCTCCTCATCACGATGCCAATCTCAGGGATTCCTCCATCTTTCGAGGGGGCATCCCTAAGATTGTCATCGCTTTTTGGCGTGCCAATCTCAGGGGTAGGGATCAGTTCGAGGCTGGTAAGGGAGGGCCGCCACGCGGACCTCCCACGCCACGAGCGGCACGCGCGGCGACGCGCGCCCCTCCCCGCCGCCAGCGCGGGCCTCCGGGAGCCCCCCCCCGCCTCGGGCGCCGGGGCCGCCGAGTCCCCTCTCCTCCCAAACCTCTTCCTCCACCTCTACATCCTGATCGCTCTCAAATTACCCTCCCCTCCCCCTCATCCCCCCCTATCCTCCTCCACCCCTATCCTCCTCCCCCCTATGTCAACCTACTCGCCTCCTTCCCCCCCTATCCTCCTCCAGCCTCACTCCTGGTGTACCCTCTAAGTTCTTCATATTCGTCCCCTCTCCTTCTCTTCCATCCGCCCCTTCGCAAACGTAGAATCGCGAAGAGGAGGGCTAGGATGAGGAAAGAAAGACGCTGTGGAGCAATAGAAACACGGATACCGCTGCTCCCCACGACCCCCGAAAAGGGTGCTATCTGACCAGAACTTGGAGGATCATCCAGCCGTGGTGACGAGGACTCTCCTGGACATGCAGCGGTATCGATACCTTCTCCTCCTCCGAGGACAGAAGGAGGAAAAGCAGGAGCAGGAGGAGGGAGGAGCGACGAGGGAACCAAAATCTGACCTGACTTGGGCTTCCCGTGGCTCTCTGGCACCCGCTCCATCGGGTGGCGGGTGTACCGTATGAGCCGGCCCTTGTTCTCGAGCTCCTCCGCGGGCAGGAAGAGGAATAATGCGGCAGGAGGGAGGAGGAAAAAGGAGGCGGGAGGAGGAGGAGGAAGAAAAGGAGGAGGAGGAGGAGGAGGAGGAGGAGGAGGAGGAGGAGGAGGGTGAGGAGGAGGAAGAGGAGGAATTCGGGGATGAGGGGGAGGAACAACGGAAGAGGCAGTAGGACGACGGAGGATGGAATGGGGCGAGGAGGAGGAGGAGGAGGAGGAGGAGGAGGAGGAGGAGGAGGAGGAGGAGGAGGGAGGAAGAGGTCGAAGGAGGAGGAGGAGAAGGAGGAGGAGGAGGAGGAAGAAGAGGAGGAAGAACAACAGGATGCGGTGGGCCCGCATGTCTACAAAGGCCCCAGGAGGATCTCAAGGCCCAGAGGTTCCGCGAAGCCTCCGCCCCCCCCCGTCAGGAGGCTCTCGAGGCCCAGAGGCTCCGCGAAGCCTCCGGCGGACCCCCCCCGCGAGCACGACCGACCGCAACCACTTCGGACCGATCGTAAACCACTTCGGACTGATCGCAAACAGTTGCGATCGATCAGAAGTGGTTGCGATGTTGTTTGGTCGTTTCAGTAAGGTTTTTATTAAGGCAAAGATCATAAGAGCGCTTCTTGGTTCAATGAATTCCTTAAGCCGCCCAATGGGAATCTGAAATAGCGGTTGCGATCGGTCCGATCACAAACAGCCGATCATGATCCCAGCTAAACACATGTATTAGGGCTCGAACGTGGCCATGATCCGTATACGATTCCTATGTGATTCGTGTACGGTTGAAACCGGAACTGAATGAAAACGCGTGGCGAGAAACAAATTGCATCTCATGGGGGGGAGGACGAGGAGGAGCAGGTGGAGGAGGAGGAGGAGGATGGGGAGGAGGAGGAGGAGAAGGAGGAGGAGGAGGAGGAGGAGGAGGAGGAGGAGGAGGAGGACAGGGAGGAGGAGGAGGAGGAGGAGGAGAGAGGAGGAGGAGGAGGAGGGAGGAGGAGGAGAAGGAGGAAGAGGAGGTGGAGGAGGAGGAGGAGGAGGAGGAGGAGGAGGAGGAGGGGGGGGAGGAAGGGAGAAGGAGGAGGGGAGGGAGGAAGGACAGGAGCACGAGGAGCAGGAGCAAGAGGAGGAGGAGGAGGAGGAGGAGGAGGAAGAAGAGGATGAGGAGGAAGAGGAAGGGGGGGAAACGGAAGAGGACAAGATGGCAAGGCGGGTAGACGCGGCGGGCCAAACCCCCACCGTCATGACTTTTCCAAGACGTCGACCCCCAGAGGTCTGGACGAATTCCCCTACGGTAGGTTCGTGCGGCGTCGGCACCCGCAAAGCTTTTGGCACCGCGTGGATCGTTTAACCTTACCTTGAATCGATCGCGGCCCCGATCGTTCAATCTTGAATTTCGCCGGGTACAATGGGCCCAACGTGTCCCTCGGTGCTTCCGCGTCGCGAAATGCAGCCTTGAACGCCTTCGCCAACGTCGCCGGCGCGCCAACGCCGCATGAACCTACAGTAGACCAGCATTGCATACTGAGCCACTTTTGGACGGCCCCTGGGCCTGGCGATGGCCCCCCGAGCCCAAAACAAAAACAGATGTTGCCACGACGCCAGGAGGTCTGGGCCTGTGGTGGTTGTGGGAACCATGGCTGGGGGACGTGTGCGCCCTGCGCGGCCTGCGAAACCTTTGGCGCCCGTGCGACACGCAGGACCTGCGGAACCTGTGGGGCCTGCGGGGCAGGCCTCTCAGAAGCCTCTCAGAAGCCTCTCACAAGCATCTCAGAAGCCTCGCAGAACCCTCTCAGAATCCTCCAGAAGCCTCGCAAGAGCGTCTCATAAGCCTCTCAGAAGACTCCCACGAGCCTTTCAAGAGCCTCTCAGAAGCCTCCCACAAGCCTCTCAGAAGCCTCCCAGAAGCCTCTCAGAAGGCTCCCGCAAGCCTCTCAGAAGGCTCCCGCAGGCCTCTCATAAGCCTCCCACAAGCCTTTCAGAAGCCTCCCAAAAGCCCCCCAGAAGCCTCGCAGAGGCCAGAGAGGAGCCTTTTTCAGAGGCCTCAGAGAAGCCTCTCAGAGACCTCAGAGAAGCCTCTCAGAGGCCTCAGCACGAGCTCTTGGATCGGTTGCAATCCGGTGTTCTCCTGGCAGGTTTGTGTGGGAATCCTTCAGGTTGCGGTTGCCATCCGACCGAAGCAGGTCCTGAACAGTCCGAAGTGGCTGTGACCAGTCTTGTTCCCGGCCCCCCCCCGGGAGCCCCCCGCGGCGCCCCGGGCGCCCCCCACGCCACGCGTTCTCTTCAGAGCGTCGCCGCCCGGGAGCCGACGATCCTCAGGACGTTGGGAGGCAGCTGCTGGGAGGTCTTCGCCGGAAGGGCTAAGGAGGATTTTGAGCCCCATTGAGGGCTGTTGCGCCGGAGTGGGCCTCGGATTAAGCGGGATTGAGCGGGATGAAGCGGGACTGAGCCGGATTAATCCGGATTTCGGACCAGCCTCCCAGGAGTCGATGATCCTCAGAACGTGTGTCAGCGCCAACGTGTGTTTGCCCACTGAGACCCTTCACGACGACGAAGGCGATCCCCACGCCGCGGTTTTGTCAGAACGTTGACTCCCAGAGTCCATGATCCTCAGAACGTGTGTCAGCGCCAACGTGTGTTTGCCCACTGAGGCCCTTCACTATACAACGAGCGTGATGTGAGAACCGACGTGGTTGGGTTGGACGGGGTAAACACACATTGGGCTAACATTCGCCCTGAGGATCATTGACAGAGGCCTCCACGCATTCCCCGGGACCCGCTTTTCATCCCGAATCGTTTTTTGACAGTCCTGACGCTCGGCGGAATTGCCAAACACATCCCGTTGTTCTGTTCACGGCGCGAAGGGGACCTTGCCATCGTTCGTGCGTATATTCGCCGCGCGTGTTCGTCGGTTCCGCGCGTGCTTGTTTCCCCGACGATCAGGGATGTGCCTCGATGGTCCTCGCCGAGAAACCATGCACACTTCCGAGTGGTGCCGAGGGCCTGGGACATTAGGGGGAGTGGCAATTCGGCGGGCGTTTGGTCTTACGGCCCTCAGCGCTGGGCTGGTTCCGACCACCTGCACGGGCGTGGGCCGTGCCGCTGCAGCTTGCTGGAACGGTGGCGTTTCCGCCACGCCGCGTGGCGCGTACGGCGGAGGAGGTGAGCTTCGAGTGCTCGCTTGGGCATTTCAGCGTCTGCGGCTCCTTCTCCGCGGCGAGAGCTCCTTTTCCCTGGCAGAGGGCGCGCTTGCGCTGCTGCGTGGTGAATGTGCGAGCCCAAAGTCGAGGCCTCAATCGAACCTGACTTCGGGCGGCGCCCATCAAGGGGTGGCGGGAGGGAGGGCGGCTGCCTAAGAATGGGGGCGACATCCGAGGAGGACAGGAGCTTCTTGAAAGCCCGCCGGCCTTTTGGGAAGCCCTGTTACAAACCGGTAGGCTTCTGCGCCCAGACCAAGGGTCTCAGGGGGACTGCTTCTTGGAAGGCAATGGCCTTCTGAGACGACCCCCGAGGCTTCGAAGAAGTCTTCTCATAAGCCGGGCGACCTTTCCGAGAAACGCCCCTCCTTCTTAGAAGCACCTCCTTCTTAGAAGGCAAGGGCCTTCTGAGACGATCCCCGAGGCTTCGAAGAAGTCTTCTCATAAGCCCGGCGAGGGGGGGGCACGAGGAATACGAGGAGGAGGAGGACGAGGAGGAGAAGGAGGAGGAGGAGGAGGAGGAGGGTGAGGAGGGGCAGGGGGAGGGGGAGGAGGAGAAGGGGGAGGGGGAGGGGAGGAGGAAGAGAAGGAGGAGGAGGAGGAGGAGGAGGAGGAGGGGAGGAGGAGGAGGAGGAGGAGGAGGGAGGACAGGCAGAAACTGAGGACGGAAAGTAGCATGAACCCACAGACGTCTTCGGAGGCACGTCCAAATTGTATCGGTTCTTGTGGAGGAGGGGGAGGAGGAGGAGGAGGAAGGAGGAGGAGGAGGAGGAGGGGAGGGAGGAGGAGTAGGAGGAGGAGAAGGAGGAGGATGAGGAGGAGGAGGAAGGAGGGAGGGGGACGAGGAGGAGGGGGGGAGGGGGAAGGAGGGAGGGCAGGAGGGAGTGCAGGAGGGAGTCGGCGGAACACCGGACAATGTCCACGGTCAAGGCTTGGGAAACCTCTCGCACGGGTGCAGCGCTTGCAAGAAGGATTCTCCGACGACGATCTGCCGATCGGGAAAGGAAAGGGGGCAGGGTAGGAGGGAGTACGGGCAAGGAGGGAGGGAGGGAGGGTGTGTGGTGTGTGTGTGTGTGTGTGTGTGTGTGTGTCGGGGGGGGGGGCGGGGCAAGAGCAGGAGGGGGTAGGATGAAGAGGCGCAGGTGAGGAAGCGGATGGGGAGGGTGGCGAGGTAGGAGGGAGGGAGGAAAAAGGGGGAGGGAGAAAAAGCAAGGGGGACCTAGGAGGAGGATCTGGGAGGAGGATAAGGGGGGAGGAGGAGGAGGAGAACAGGAAGAGGATGAGGAGGAGGAGGAGGACAAGGAGGAAGCGGAGGAGGAGGAGGAGGATGAGGAGGAGGGAGAAGGCAGGATTTTCCTCCAGGCTCCATCGGACCGCCGCTTCGCGCGGCGCTCCGCCCGCTGCTGCCGCCCCCGATCCCACGCACCGCGGCCGCCTGGGCCCGGGCACGAGCGGGGGCGGGGCGGCGCCGACCTGCCCCGAGGGGGGCCCGCGGCTGGACAGCAGTCGTTGGGACGCACGGAGACCTCCTAGTTCTACATGTCCTCCCTGGGAGGCGCGCGTCCGACCCGAACATATGTGAAGGGGCCCTGGGACACACACACACACACACACACAAATAAATACACACAAATAAAAGGATTCCCCATATGTTCCCACATTTTCTGGGTTTCTGTCTTCCCCCCCCACTTCCCATATGTTCCTATATTTTCTGGGGGATCGACGATTACTTGTGTCTGTGTGTGTTTTTTCTCCTCCTGAATATGGTATACCCATCTTGTAGTACATCGGTTCCCGAGGGGTGCAGCCAACAAGCGCCCGCCACGACGCACATACTGCAAGGTTTTCCCGGTGCGCGCGTCGCCCCTGGGGGGGGCGACGCACACATCGCCTGACGCCGCGCGAGCATGGCCCGTCGCAGGGGCTCATCCACGGTGGCCCCGCAGCAGGAGCTTCTTGACGTGCTCTACCTGCGGCACCTCCCTCCGCATTGCGTAAATGCCCCTGCCCCCCCCCCCCCGCAACGCCAGCGGCACCGCGTCGATGCTCTCGGCCTCTGGCGACGGCGCCTCTTCCATCTTCTCAACATGCTCTGCCTGTGGTGGCTGTATCGCCACGCCCCGCTCTTCTCCCCTTGCGCCATCAGCGGCGCCACGTCGATCTGCTCCGCGGACTCCTCTGGCGGCGCCTCGTCGTTGCCGTCTGCCCGTGGCAGTGGCTTGGGGCCGAGCGTCCCGCCAAACTCTCCTCGCGGCGCTGCCTCGGGCCCGCCGGTCGACGCGACTCCATCGCCGGGTGTGGCAACCTCGCTTTTTCCGTGTCCGAGCCGCGGGCTGCCGCGACCTCCACAGTCGATCGCCCTGGCCTGCTCGGCCAGGGAGCCCACAAGGATCGTACGCGCCCAACCGTGGGCATGAGCACGGCCCCTCGACGAGACCCGCGAGGCCGGCCGCGTGATGCGAACACTCGCGCAGGGCGTAGTCTCGAAAACAGCGTGGACTCCTGCGCGCACGCGCCCCTCTCTCGCTGCTGCTCGGCGGGCTCCTGCCGCACCCCGTCGGTGCGGTGGACCCCTGGCAGCGTCACCGCGGGTGCCTGCGCGACGTGCGCACTCCTCCTGCGGCAGCTGCCGCGCCTCGCCCTCGTGTCGCGCTGCGGCCCCGGCGGCGCTCGCCCCGCTCGGCGCAGGCGTACTGCGGCTCCTCGCCGATGCACCCGCCTGTGCGGCTACTCGGCGGAGACGCACTGTGGCAACATCGCCTCGGTCGTCTTCTCGACCTGCAGTCGGGTCCGGGCCAGAAGCGCATCCCTCAAGAGCATGAGACCGCCCGCCGGCCAAGACACACAGAACATGCGATGGGCACCCTCCCCAGGACGAACGAGGACCATCTCACACTCACACACACGAAGAGCAGTAGGGTACCCTCCCCGAACCGACATCGACCTCATGCCTCGGTCCGACTGCACTGTGGCTCCTCGCCGACGCGTCCGCCCTCTGGCAACATCGCCTCGGTTCGCCTCGGTGGCCTTCTCGACGAATGCTCTGCCGGCGGCAGCTGCCTCGCCCCTCCCTGACTTCTCGCCCTGCGGCGCCAGCGGCACCCCGCCGACCTGCTCGGTGGGCTCCTCCTGCAGCTCAAGCGCCGCTGCCCTCGACGCGTGGCACCAGGCTCGGCGCCGTCGACATCCTCACGACTGCCACGGCCTGCTGCTCCCCTCGGCTCTGCTCCGCGGCCGGTGGTCGGCTGCCCCCTCCCCGTGCGCGGGGCTCGGGAAGACGGGGACCTCCCCGAACTCGGGAAGTGCCCCGCCGTCGCCGGGGAGGAAGGCATGCACGGCAGACTCGGCCTTCGGCATCCTTTCCGATCGCCTCGGTGCCCTCGTGCGTCTTCACCCCGTGCAGCCGGCCCGTATCATGAAGGTGCGCGATAAGGACGCAAGGACCTTGGAAGGCCATTGCGAAGCTTTTCGAACGGGGGCGCGGCCAACGAAAGTGGCCTAGTTAGGCTGGGCCGAGGAGGCGAGGGTGCAAGGGTACCCTTGGGAAGCTTGCCCATCCTTACCATGCGGGTTGACTGCAGTTCGTCCTCTGTCATGCTGCCCCCCGTCGGCCTCACCACGGGAGCAGTCGAAGAGCCCATCGACGACCTCGTCGGCGAGGACCCCCGCAGTGCACGGCAACGGGGAGGGCGGGCATGTCCTCCCACAGACGGATTCTGGAGGAACGCAAAGATCCAAGCAGAGTTAACCATACTAGAAAAAATCGTCCCCGGACTATGCTTGACAGTGTTTGGAGATTCCTCCTGCAGAGGGACATGCCCGGCTTCGGGCCACGGGGAGGCGGCCCTGCTGCAGCACAGGCCTGCTGCTGCACCACCCCGCCGCTCTCGCTGCTCGGCCCCTGCGGCTCCCGGCGGGGGGGGCCCCTCCGCGAGCCGCGGGGGGGCCCTCCCGGCCCGCATCCGAGGCGCCGGGGCCGGGGCTCGCGGGAGCCCTGCAGTCTGGCAAAGGCGCCAGGACGCTGGAGCCCAGGCGGCTCGAGCGAGGGAGACGGCGGAGGGAGGCGGCGAGGATGGGGGAAGGCTGTGTGCGGGGGGGGGGGGATGATGGAGGGGCAGGGGTGAGGAGAAGGGGAGAGGGAGGAGCAGGGGCAGGATCACGAGAATGAGCGCACGGCTGAGCGGGACGCGTTCTCCTTCTGCCTCCCGCCCCTCCTCCTTCTGCCCACCTCCTGGTACAGATCCTTGTCCTCCCTTCTCCCATTTGCCTTCTTGCTTCGAACCTCCTGCCCCTCCTTCCTCACTGCTCCTTTTTTGTATTTCCTCACTCGACTTCTCCCCTCCCTGATCCTCTTATCCCTCACCCAGCAATCGTGCGCACGAACTTCGCAATCCTTCATCTTGTGTGGGCGCCACTTGCCGTGATACATCCGCTGGCGGATCAAGAACTTGGCTCTGTCTCCGTCGATGGCCTGCGGCCAGGCTGCAAGTACCCAGACATGCTCGACAAGACAACGAACATATGTGAGAAACTCGTAAGAATGAGGTGGCCGAACACGGTCTTGCACCATCCTGGGGTGCGTGCCTGAACTGCGCTTCCCCGGTGAGGATTATTGTTTGTTGTTGTTATCGTTGTCGTCGTCGTCCGCGACCCACCCGCGACCCACTCGCGACCCACCCACTTTAGTTTGCCGAAAAAGGTCGGCGCCCGCGGCTGGCTCGGCGTGTAATGTGTATGACAATCGGCGCCTGCGGCGGGCTTTTTCAAGGCCTCGCAGACTGCTGCCGACAACCCAGCCGCCTCCTCACACTGAGCGAGCTCCTCGACATGTAGCGCGGGCTGAACCTGGAAGGCGGGGCGAGCCCGGCGAGGGCCCCCGAAAACGACGAAGAGCATCCGTCTTGATTTTCCAATCAGGAGCCGATCGCGGAGGAGGAGGAGGTGGATGAGGAGGAGGAGAAGGAGGAGGAGGAGGAGAAGAAGGAGGAGGAGGAGGGGAGTGGGGGGGCGGGGGAGGGGGAGGGGGGGGGGAGGAGGAGGAGGAGGAGGGGAGGAGGGAGGAGGGCGGAGGAGGAGGCGGAGGAGGAGGAGGAGGAGGGAGGAGAGGAGGAGGAGGAGGCAGGGAGGAGGAGGAGGAAATGGAGGAGGCGGAGGAGGGAGGAGGAGGAGGGAGGAAAAGAAGGAGGATGAGGAGGAGGGTGAGGAGGAGGGGGAGGAGGAGGAGGAGGACTTTCCTTCCCATGCAGGCCAACCGTCAATGCCAGCAGGCCCTGAAAGCGGGGTCCGACTCCTGCGCTTGCGGCGCGCGCGCGCGTGCCGGCAGGGCCGCCGCGCGCCCACCGCGGCAGCCTCCGCGCGGAGAGCAGGGAGGCCGGCGAGGAACACGGCTGCGGGCAGCACACTTCTGCCAAGATCCCCTGCAGTATTGACTGCCTACCAGACCACCCCAACCGAAACCGACGACCCAAGTTTCGGGTTAAGGGGGGGGGGTATGGGCTCCACATGTGTTTTTGTTCGGTGTGCCCCGATTCCCCCCCCCCACACTGGAAATCAAGACCAAATTTGGGCCTTCGGGCTGGGCTGGGGTGGTTCGGTGGGCGGTGAAGTATGGAGTGTCGGGCTCCCTGCCCCAGAAGCCCGAGGCGCACCGGATGTGGATGAACTTGCCCCTTAGAGGCTCTATTCTAATGCGCACCCTGTGCGCGGCGGTCCCCGTGGCGCCCCTTCCAAGAAAGTCCAGGCCGCACTGGACACGGACATGATGAGTGCCCGCAACGGTGGGACCAGCGAGCAAAAGCCCGGATGCGACACGTGTGCGCCGTCAGACCTGGGCGTACAGTACCCACTGGTCGGAAGAAGTAGGTAGAAACATGAAAAAGGACGGCGGATCGAGTAGATTGGCTCTGGGCCCGCCCAGAGAGTAACAACACGCAACAACAACACATCGGTTCTTGAAGTAGGAAGGCGCTTGAAATAGACTGGGCTCTGGGGATTCAGAAATGCCTACTTTCAACGACCGATGGGTGGGCATATGTACGATAACGCGTCTGGCTATAAGAATACTCCAAGGGCGCCTTCGTCGTCGAGCCTTCGGCTCCCTGATGTCCCCCGGGCTCCAGGGGCCATCGTCGGCTGCACGTAAGGAGCGGGGCCCAGGGACACACAAAAGCACGCACGCACGCACGCACGCACGCACGCACGCACGCACGCACGCACGCACGCACGCACGCACGCACGCGCGCACGCGCGCACGCGCGCACGCGCGC